AAAAAAAAATAAATAAAAACGCTAATGAAGCCGTGGTGTTCTGTAACCTTGTAATCCTATTTTCCCTATGTTTTTTTTTTTCCTTTTCAGCCCTATTCTTGAAATATAAATTCTCCTTTCTAATGGTCACAGATTTTGTTCGGCGTTTGTCCAGAGAGATTGATTCTTGATGTAGGCAATACCGTCCTGTTGATGATTTGCTTTATTTTCGTGTCAGTGACCTGCTTGACGTATTTCAAATTGAAGTGTTATGTAGTGTACTGTGCTATATTTTGATATTTCTCTTCACTTTTCTTATGAGATATTACCTTAGTGAACTTCATATTTCCGACACGTGAAATATTAGCTCAGCAAACAATCATTTAAGTATGATATCAAACGTAATATCTTCCGCATGCATATTTGCATATGCATGCAAATAAGAACGCTGTGTTTCGATTACGGATGAAGGAGAGGCTCAATATCGCTTTTTTAGCCCAAGGGCTCACGTCTACTAAATAAAATTTCACTGATGACCATAGAGTATTGCTAAGAAAAACTTGAAGTTATCAGTCACTTGCTATTTGGAGTCTGGAAACTTGATTATGTCGAGTGTCGAGACTTGAGAACAATGTCGCTTGAGCAGTCTCTCAAGGAGTAAATTGAACAAAAGTACCGCGCTCGCTAATACTGAACTCTGAAAAATTGCATTCAATTCTAGGGGAGGGGGGAGGGGGATACTATCTTACAAGGGATGTAAAAGATTTTCGTCTGAAAAAGGGTATGCTTTTCCCTCTGATTTGGCAATGGGTATTTTGTTTACAATAATAAAAAAAAAATCCAGCATCAACATTAGCAAATTTGCTGTCCTTCTAAATTTTTACGAAATGTAAACCATTTCTAGGTTGCCTGCGATCATATAGGAGGGCTGCGTACTAATTTTAGAGGTCTGAAATGGGGTGAAGATTTTTGGCTCAGGTCTGAAATCACAGATTTTGATCTGAAATAGAGTACGGGTTTCAAAGTTCGAGCCCCCACCAAAAACTTCTAGGAGAAACCCCCGCTCCCCATTCCAACAAGTCAAAGCTGGCTGCGATACTCGCGAACAATTGTTTCGCTTACTCACTCTTTAACAATCATTCTAATAAGTAAATTAAATAGGGCATCTCTTTCCTTCAGGCTCACATTGGTTTGTGTTGTTCATTTCTCGACAATTCATACAATGTCACTGACATGATATTTCATGCAATACAATAATACAACACAATGAAATACAGTACAATACAGTATTTTATTTAACGTGGAACATACGCTTAGCTATATGGTTTAGTTTAAAAAAATCTTCGCCAGCTACTTTACGGATATGTCACAAAAATAAATAAATGAGTGAATGAATGGATAAATAAATAAATAAATAAATAAATAAATAAATAAATAAATAAATAAATAAAAGAGAAATTAAAAAATATGTACAGAATATAAACCTATTTACAGTTAAAAATAAAGTATCACACAATAAGAACTATTTACAGGATAAGAAAGCAATTCGTGGATACTGCGTTACCTAAAGTACAGACTTGTTTGATGACAGTTTTCTAACAATTTAAAAATTCCATGACGCTCTAAGAACATCAGGTGATACAATATCCCTACGAAACGTGGTACGTAGCCGCGCAATTTCTAGCTATACAAACTCAGATCTAGCTTGATCTGCACCAGACCGAATATAATGCAGCAAGAGTTGGTAACTCTGAATGTAAACAGGTACAACGTCTTATTACAGTAGTCATTACCATCAGAGTCTGGATCGTAGTAGTTCGGTTTTTAGTTTTTCGTAAATCCACATCTTTCCGCAGATGAACCAAGCGAAGAGAAAATGTTGCTCTACTGCCTTTAGTGGGTTTACGCTCTTTTCCTCTCCTTGGTTCTTGCACTGATATCGTGTGCCACAGGAACAGCGTTTGGCAAAGAGACCAGTTGCCACCGCCACGATTAAATAAATATGGATCATGTTTTCCACCGCACACTCCTCTTTAGCTCCTATAGGGACACAATCCAGAAAGTTATAAGGAGGGGTAACGCAGTTTAAGTCGATTATGAAATGCTTAGTCACGCAATATCAGGTCTAAGTGACGGTATTTCGGACGCGATTCTGTTATGTTCCTGACCGCTATTTATAAAGCAGTTCTGTCTTGGTCTGTCACGCTACCTGAAGTGATTTTTTTTCTCATGGACTCTGACCATTAGCTATGGCAGTATTAATATCTCTTTCTACGTTATATGGCTAAGATTTTAGCATTGAATTAATCATTTCATTTATTATATGACTGAGAAAATTACTTTTTTGTGAGTAGCTGAGAGCAGACCAGCTTTTGTTTAACCAGATGTTAAATTTGCAATGTACGCGCGTTCGGAATTTTCTCGATGAGTAATCATGTGACAGCTCAAGCAATTAAGGATTTACACTATACTCGTAATATTTGAATAAATATTTCAAATTGCGCTCTCTCTCGATTTTGAGAGAATTTCTAATCTCATTCGTAGTGTGAATCCTTAATTCTATATTCGCATTCATACGATTACCTATATCCGTACATTCGAAATTGTATTAAAGTAGACCTACAGAGACGACCAGGGGTTATAATTTGAAATCAAACTAATTTGTAATCAGGAATAAGATCAGTGTGTATTAAATGATTTTTAATTCAACCACAGTCAATTCTTAGGCATGTTATCTTGACTCACCACTCATTATCATTGCCATCTGTAGGGGTAGAGCCGCCAAGCACATAATGACCAAGGCTGTCAAAACTGTAATAGAAAATGAAAGACGATCGTCGGTAAACATTATTCACGTTTTAGTGTCACGGCAAACTGAAATGAGCTGACTACGAGAAAAAGAAAGTACGAAAATAAGAAATGATTGGAAACCTACGTGTTGGTAGGAAAACGAAGCTAGACGTCCTCGAGGCTTCCATATAGGAAATATGTTAATGTGAATCGCCTTCTCTGGTATTTGTGCTTTGTTTCGTCAACTTCCTGCCAACGGAGAAATAGTTTGTATTCAAATTTAAGTAGATCAAACAAGACTTCCGTAATGTAGTGAATAAACTATTAGTTTCTGGAGACTGAAAATCTTCGCTGTCACTCGTAATAGCTACGAGACTCCGTTTAAAGGTTTGTTTTTATTCATTTTTGGCTAGACTCGCAGAACGGATATCCTCTTTACTTCATTTTTTCAGAAATGAAACGGCAATGTTTTAGTTTTTTGTTTAGGTTACACTGTCAACGTTCTCTCTATCTCTCTAATCACAGACCCGCTGCGCACTTCAAACAGATTACACGGGAGTGTATATACCGCTAAACTGATGGTTCTCTGATAGCTTAAATACTTCGTCTTTATTTTTTTAATAAAAAGCAAAAACAGCACAAAGCTTTTGAGTTTTTCTGCAGTGAATAAATTTTCTGATGGTGTAGTTATAATTAAGCCATTCCCATTAAATGGTTTGGTAATGAATAGCCTAGCAGGGTGCAGTTGTTAAAAAAATGGCGGCTGCTTCTTTGCGTTTTCGATGTGTCTATGAAGATGATTTAGATAATTTACTAGTTGAATCGATTCGAGAAAAGAAATTGAAAGTAGTAGATTTATACTAAGGAAGATAGTGTATTTAATCTCGACTTCTATGTGCGATTTCTTTAACCAAAAAATTGTGGATGTATCTTCATTTACCTTGTGTGACCTTGCGTCTGTTGATCACTCTCAGTTTGAAATCCGTCTTTTGTACACAGTGGTCTTCTAGCGATAAGCCCTTACTTGAAAACAAGATAAAATTCAGATGTCTTAATTCTGTACTTTCTCCGATCAAATGGTTATATATGTTAATGAACAAAACAAATTTCTCGGCCTATATTTATAGTGAATGAAGTTATTTTTGTGATCTCTTACATGCACTTCCAAGACTAGCTCATACGTAGTTAATAAGACAAGATGGATTGCCTATTTTTATAGACTTTCTTTTTAAAAAAATTGCTACGTCTCGATTTTCAGTCTGTTTTTAATGCAACAATTCTATCCAGTGCACATTTAAAATGTCCTTATATAATAATTTGTCTGCTTACAATTTTACCTGTCACAGTCAGTGTCTGACTCCGGTTGGAAAGAACTTGAAAAGCAAACTCAAAGTTTTGAACTCCCAGGTGAATGTCGCTGTCGCCTAATTTGCATAAGATCGGTAAACAATCGTAGCCTTGCAGAATTTAGCGAAACTATTCCCGATTGCAAAAAAAATTTGGGCAACATTACCTACCTCTTCAGTACGTAGTAGTCGGAAATGCGATCGAAACCGAAAAATGCGATCAAGCTCGACACGCCGAGACTGGAAATATCTAAAATTATCTGCAGCTCACAAAACAAAGCTCGGGATTTCAATGTATAATGATTTCAGATATTTTTTGGCCAGGTATACAAACCAAGCGGTCAACTAACAAAGCAGATCCAAAAAGTTCTTTTACTTTTCAAAAACATGGTTAGTCTAATCAAATTATTCGGGGCGCTTTCCATTCGATGAAAATATTTTGTTTGAGTTTGCAAAAATTAGCAATGACGAATGGAACAGCTTTTTCCGGATTTCTGAAAA